GAAGAAGTTCTGGTGTGTGAAGGTGAAACTAGCTCAATTTCCCCAGAGAACTGATGTTTGTCACTTTTTCTATTAAACATAGAAATGGACCCTGCTTTTCTTAATGCTTAAAACTTAAATTTGTCTTACCTGAATTTCTTTTTCAGGAACTTTCTGACTTTCAGATAGTATCGAGGAAGTGAAATTCACTACATCACCGCATCCAAATAAGGAGACACCAGACTCCTCTCCTTACTCTCCATAATTTCTGTTTTCCTCACCAACCACCTGCTTCCCATCAACCAACTGTTCTTCTTACCCCTCCTTAATTCATGTTTTTCTGCGGGTAGCTACACCCCTTTCCCACTATATATACCCCCAATTTTAGTTGGTCAGAGATTTGAGACTTATCTCCACTTATCTTCATTTGGCAGCACCAAAGAAAGCCTTCCTCCCCCAAAATTCTGAATCCAGTGATTGGCTTTCTTTGCTGCAAGCAACGGGATGTAGACTGATCCCCTGGCATTTCAGTAACCAAGTATTGCATTCCCTACCTGTGAATTGGGGGTAATACTAGCACATGCTGCATAATTGTTGTTTTAAACAAATAAGTGACTGTGCAGAACTCAGAACAGTTCCTGGTAGAAGGCCAAGTAGGTGCTCAGGGGAGAGATTTGAGACCAGAAAGTGTAAGGCAACTCCTGTCTTCACCCACCACCATCAGGGCTATGTATGCACTGTTCTCTACATGCTACTTTCACTGTTCTATTTGTCCTTCTCTGCTGAACAGCTTCTCTACGCTACTATCCCATTCCAGGCCCCCTGGAGCTCACCTGGGTTCCCAGCTACACTTCCTTCCTTGACTCAGTTGTCGAGTCAGTTTGTTGAGTTAATTTGTCTAGTCACTTTGTTTCTCAATTCTGTTTTTACATTACTTGGATAGAGTATCTATTGGCTCGGCTTGAGCCAGCTATTCATTCTTGATTCCATCCCTAGTGAACAGGGAGTGTGGTCACCTGGGGACTGGGGCTGCCCATTCCAGGGATGTGGGCAGAGCAGACTCCATGAAAGGGGTATGGAGAAGGAAGCATCTTAGTGCAACAACCACTCAACTAGGATGCCGTAAAGGAGATTCAGGCTTCAAGAGGTTTCGTGACCTCTACTCTTAGGAAAGATCCTTCATTTCTGTTGTAATAACAAAAACAACTAGTATTTATTGAGCTTCTACCATGTGTTAGATGTCCTCCTAAGCACTTCACATGCACTGATTTAACTTATTTGATGCCTGTAAAAATATTTAAGATGGGAAGTAGTGGGGAGGAGAAGGCAACAAAAAACGATGATCACTAAGGTGTTACTATAGATTGGAAGTTTGTAATCCCCCAAAATTCCTATGTTGAATCCTAATGTGATGATATTTGGAGGTGGAGGCTTTGGCAGATGATTAGGACATAAAGGTGAGGCTCTCATGAATGGGATTAGTGTTCTTATAAAAAAGATCTCAGAGAGCTCCCTAATCCCTCCCACCAGGTGAAGACTCAGTGAGAAGACTGTGGTCTATGAACCAGGAAGTGGCCCTCACCAGACATCAGTGTCTGCCAGCACCATGATCGTGAACTTCCCAGCCTCTAGAATTGTGCAGAATAAATTTCTCTTGTTTATAAGCCTTGCAATCTGTGGTATTCTGTTACAGCAGCCCAGCCAAGATATATGTCATCTCATTCCAACATTCAATAAACTGACCTAGAAAAGTCTAAATCTCAATTTGATCCACTCTTACTGTTAATGATCTGTCTTATAAAAGAGAAACACATCTTCATCTTTCCAGACCACAGTCCTGACATTTTCATCCTCACATAAAAATTCTTCTATCCATTGGTAAGACTTTGATGTTTCGGCTTTTAAAACAAAGATAGCTTATTTCTGGGGGAAAAAAAAAAAACTGAAAGAAGAACTAGAATAAGAAGGTAAATTATAATGCACAATGCAATAAAACTTGGTTTTTAAACTAGCCTTATTAACATATAATTGAATATAACAAACCATACTCACTTAAAATGTACAATTTTATGAGCTTTGATCTATGTATTCACCAGTGAAACCATCACCACAATCAAGATAATGAACACACCCATCGCCTGCAAAAGTTCTCATGGGCTTCTCTGTAATCCCTTCCCTTCCTACTCAACTCCTGCCTCTTGTATCACAAGGTTTCTCCACTCTGGCAGTTGGGAATATGAGCTATTGCCTGGCCAGTACAAGCTCCGAAGTTTTTCTGCCTGCTTTTTGCTAGTGGCTGCCTCTCTGTCTTGGGAAGTTTTCTCACATACATGTACCTGTTCGAACTTCAGCTGAAGACCCAGGGGAACCCTGCACAGATCTCCAGGGCGCCTCCTTCCATTGCACTCTCTCCTCTCTAGTACTCTAGGGTCCCTGGCCTCCCTGAATCCTCACCTCTATTTTCCAACTCACAGAGACTGCTGGGCCTTTGGGTTCCGGTCTGCACTGCAGCTTGGAAACCCTCTCCAGGCAGAAAGCTGGAGCAAGCGGCATGTTGCTTCCTTCATCTCCCTTCTCTTAGGCCCTGCATCGCCTGTTTCGCAATGTCTGAAAACCGTTGTTTTATACATTTTTTCTCATATTTTTCATTTCAGGTTACAGAGTAAGTCCAGTCCCTGTTGCTCCCTCTTAGCTGGAGCAGATGTCAACACTTAAATTTAAAATATAAAAAATCATTTACAACAAGCTCATTATAAAAAAAAATCAACGGATGTAAAGTCTTATAAAGTATAAAAGTAAATATTTCCCCTTCAGTACTTGCAATTCACAGCCCAGAAAAAAACCACTGCTCATGGTAAACACAACGTTAAATAATTTCCACTTCTCCCAAAAAGACCTATTGTGAAGTTGCAGATGCAGGAACATCTCTGGTGGTGCTGGAAGGATTTAGAAATGAATGCCCCTGGCCGGGCATGGTGGCTCACACCTGTAATCCCAGCACTTTGGGAGGCCAAGGCAGGCAGATCACAAGGTCAGGAGTTCAAGACCAGCCTGACCAACATGGTGAAACCCCACCTCTACTAAAAATACAAAAATTAGCTGGGCATGGTGGCAGGCATCTGCAATCCCAGTTACTCAGGAGGCTGAGGCAAGAGAATTGCTTGAACCTGGGAAGCGGAGGTTGCAGTGAGCCAGGATCAGGCCACTGCACTCTAACCTGGGTGACAGAGCAAGACTCTCTCTCGGAAAAAAAAAAAAAGAAAAGAAAAGAAAAGAAAAACAAAACAAAACAAATGAATGCCCCTGAGAAATGCTGTCCTCTCCCCTGTCCACCCCACAACCATGGAGCATGTGAGCTAGGGCTCACTCTATACTGACTTCTCTTTCACTGTCCCCAAGGCAGGAGTGAGGTGGTCAAGTCTCTGTGAAGGCCACATAAAATCATGTGTGTGAAAGTGGCAAACTTTGAAATCATATACAATTGTTAGTTAATATACATATTATCTTGTTATTTTTTATATCAATAACTTATATAACAACTAGTCCTTGGAGAGTTTGATGATACCTCAGTCACAGTTTTCATCACTAGTGAAAGTTTCTCCTCATAACAATCCTGATCAAGCTCTCCAAGGCCTGTGGCAAAAAATAAAAATAATTAATAAAAAGCATTATGTTGGTTCATGGTCATCTTAAAGTGACAACAGCTGTGTGGGATAGTGTCCCACATGTGGAAGAATCTCCAGGCTGAAGTGGTACAGTCCAGACATAATCTTTAGAGCTAAGAGGCCATTTCTCTCAGTCTCAAAATTCACTCAAATATACCCCTGCAGAAACTTTATAATTTCTCCCTTTCACGGAATGGCAAATAACCTGGAGCTTTTTTTCTTTTTCTTTTTCTTTCTTTTCTATTTCTACCTTTTAATTTTACCTCCTACTCTGGTCTGGACCTGCAAGCAATAGGTTCCTCAATGTCAGCTCAGGAAGAAATAAAAACAGAGCAGAGACTGATATTTTCCCAAACCATTATTCATCCTTCCCCTCCTAAAAAATACAGACACTTAACAATGTTCAATTTGCAATGTGCAGCATCCAGGCAAAAATTTCCAGACACGCTAAAAAGCAAGAAAATGTGATCCATAATCAGAGGGGGAATGAATCAACAGAAACTGATTCAGAAATAAACACGATGCAGACGCTGGTCACAGAAGTCTAAAATTCTAAGGTGAAGCCCCCACTAGGTCGGACATTTTCTTATTCCTTATGTCATGTAAACACAACTCCCAAGATCTCCGTCACAGGCTGTAGAAATTACTCACCAGGTCCCCATGTGGGCTGTGTTCAGATTTTTAGTTATATTTGTAGAAATCTAAGTGAATGTGATGACTGCTTTATACGGGTTTTATTTTTATCTTTAAAGACAGGGTCATGTTCTGTCCCCCAGGCTGGAGTGCAGAGGTGTGATCACAGCTCATTGCAGTCTCGAACTCCTGGGGTCAAGCGACCCTCTCGACTCAGCCTCAGGACTTACAGGCGAGCACCACCTTACCAGGCTTGATTTTTGTGTTTTTAAACAGACTGAATGAACATCCTTCAGAATTTCCCATCCCCACCCCCCACAGCCCCGACTCCACCACCCCGAACCCCGCCCCACTTCGTACTACCGAAGCACATCTCGGGAATCCGATGCGGAAGGAAAGAGTCAGGGACGCGGGAGGCGAAAGGCTGGCGACGCTGTGCGGTGGTCCTAGGTGCGCGTGCCCCCTCTCTGGAGTAGTCCTTGGGGTCACAAGGATTTGAAGACAGGCCCTCCCCTCCCATTGCCCCGATTCCCCCGAGTGCCAGGCCCCGGTGGGCCGGCGCCCTGAGCAGGTCTGGTTGGTTGCTAAAGCCTGCTGGGCCCAGACAGGAACCCTGCCCTGGCTGGGCTGCGGCGCGGCAGCAGAGCTCTACGGAGGCTGCACTCGCAGGACCTCCTCTCCCCGCCCGGTAGGAGACCGCGCCAGACGCGAGGCGACGGCGGCAGGGCCGCGCAGAGGGGCGGGGCTCACCAAGGCTCCACCCAGCAGCCCCTGTTCGCACGCCGGGTGCTGATCCGCGCGGAGGCCGACCCGCCACCACCCAGCGCTCAGCGGGCCCGGGCGGAGAGGCGCAGCGCGCCAGGTAGCCTCCGGCGAGGGCGAGGGCGAGGGCCGGTGCTGGCCGGCTATGCCTCCTGCCGCTGCGGTTCAGGCCGGCGCCCGCGCGCCCGCGGCCTCGGAGAAGCAGCCGGGTTCCGGGGGTGCTGCGCTGTGAGGCCGGGGCCTAGAGCCCGCTGCCGCCGCTGAGGAGCGGCCCAGGAACCGAGCTTGCCAGCGCTCGCGCCCCCGCCTTCCTCCCGCGCTCGACCCAGCCTTGGCTCGCTGCCCTCGGCTGCCGGGCGCCATGGCCTCCGCCGCCAGGGAGAGCGCGGGATCGGTGCGCCGGCCACTGCCGCGTCACCGAGCGCTGCGCGGGCTGCTGCTGCTCTGCCTGTGGCTGCCGAGCGGCCGCGCGACCGGGCCGCCCGCGGCGCCGCTGTCCGAGCTGCACGCGCAGCTGTCAGGCGTGGAGCAGCTGCTGGAGGAGTTCCGCCGGCAGCTGCAGCAGGAGCGGCCGCAGGAGGAGTTGGAGCTGGAGCTACGCGCGGGCGGCGGCCCCCAGGAGGACTGCCCGGGCCCGGGCGGCGGCGGCTACAGCGCCTTGCCGGACGCCATCATCCGCACCAAGGACTCCTTGGCGGCGGGCGCCAGCTTCCTGCGGGCGCCGGCGGCCGTGCGGGGCTGGCGGCAGTGCGTGGCGGCCTGCTGCTCCGAGCCGCGCTGCTCGGTGGCTGTGGTGGAGCTGCCCCGGCGGCCCGCGCCCCCGGCCGCCGCGCTCGGCTGCTACCTCTTCAACTGCACGGCGCGCGGCCGCAGCGTCTGCAAGTTCGCGCTGCACCGCGGCTACAGCAGCTACAGCCTCAGCCGCGCCCCGGACGGCGCCGCCCCGGCCACCGCGCGCGCCTCGCCCCGGCAGGGTAAGCACGCGACTGGGGCCGGCCGAGGCCAGAGCGCTGGGTCCCGCAGCGCCCTCGCCAAGTTGGGAGTGAAACACACTCGTGCCAAGTTATTTTAGCCGCGGGCTCCCAGAGGAGTTTCTGGCGTGGGTTTCTGTGTCTTAGGAAAGAGGAAGCCCAGTCGATTGGCAGAAGCCGGCGGGCGCGGTGGGGAATTTTCTGGGTTTGAGGACGAAGGCTGGTCTGAGAGGATTCGTGGAAATTTGATTTAAAAGAGGAGAAAGTTCAGAGAAACAAGTTTATTTTAGTGTCCTGGGTTGTATAAGGCATGGTTTGTGTTAAGTAATTGCAAGAGCAAAATCTAATTAGATGCGGAGCTTCTCATGACACCCACCCCTGTTTCTTAACGTGGCTCTCTTGGCTCTGCCTGTGGTGGCTTTCATCAGACAAAAATGGGAAGGAAAACTACTGCTCCCTTTTATAAAAAATGCAAAGAAGAGACTTGATTTTCTTTGAAAATAGGAAAATTTAAAGCGTGATTCATAAGGGCTAAAAGTGATGCCGATTTGACGGTTTTGCTTTTTGTAGATGCTGTGAATGAGAGAATCAGGACACATACAGGAGACACGAAAATGGTAGCAGTTGCACATGAGGGTCCCGGAGGGAATAATAGAACTTGATTTCACCCACGTGTGGTCACGCTCTGTGTGTTTAATCATGCTCTGTTGCTGTTTGATTTATAATAGCACGAATGATACCAACAAGATGGGGGCAGAGCTCAGCCACTTTGGAAGTGTGGATTCTCCAAAACCTGTGGATCCATTAAAAGGGTCTGGAAATATGTGTCCATCACATCTTGCCTCTCTCCCCACCTCTACTTTAGATGAGGCTCAGAACCCTTGTCAGGGGAGCAGATATCAAAGGGTCACCCTGCGACTGCTCAGTCTTGAGGCAGACACCAGGAAGGACCCTGTAGCTTTCCTTCTGAAGTGGGGGCAGGCAGCACTTTCACTTGGACCCCCACCAGCATCGCTGAGGCCCATCACGGCTGCTCTACACACATCCTTCCTCTTTGCCCAAATACAGACCTAAATATCCCAGCAGTAAAGAAACAAAGTCTCCGTGTTCTCACTGCTCACCTGGAAGAAATTGACAATGCCAAAGGGAGCTTTTCTATAAACCCAGAGGAAACCTTTTAAAACGAAAATAAACCAAAGAATAAGCCTTAGAAAAAAATGTTTAAAGTTTAGATTACTGTGAAAGACTGGGCATGGTGACTCATAACTGTCACCCAGAGCTTTGGGAGGCCACGGCCAGTGAATCACTTGAGGCCAGGAGTTGGGACCAGCCTGGCCAACATGGCAAAACTCCATCTATACTAAAATAAATAAACAAAAATTAGCCTAGTGTTGTAGTACGTGCCTGTGATGCCAGCTGCTCAGGAGACTGAGTCAGGAGAATTGCTTGACCCCTGGAAGTGGAAGTAGCAGTGAATACAGATTGTGCTACTATACTCCAGCCTGGGCAGCAGAGGGAGAATGTCTCAGAAGCAAAAACAAATAAACTTTAGATTACTATGAGAAGTTTCTGGATTGTTTTTCCTCTTGCTTCCTTTGTTGCCCTTCATTTCCCTAGGGAGAGTTGGTCTAGGAATTGTTTTATAGATGTTTAGGGATCAGAATAGGCAAGCACTTTGGGTCCTCATTTCTGGGAGAACACTGCTGTGCTCAGACTTCCTGAGGTCCCAGCAACATGGAAACATGGTAGGTGTGGCTCAGGCTCCTGTAGAGGCTCCCTTGTTCTCTCTCTGTGGAAGTCAAAAATGTTTCTCCAGTATCCTATGTGTCCCATGCCCAGAGGCTTGACAAGTTGAAGTTGTTTATGCTTCTGATACTAAGTTTTTCCTTCTTGAATTGTTCCTTTTTGGGAAATGTGAGCATGTGCAAATGGCTTAGAAGAGTCCTTGGAGAGAAGCTGTGGCTGGGTCCATCGGTGGTAGATAAAAGCACCATGAAGAAATGGCGATGGGGTAGCACGGATTTACAGCAGGACACACCCGCCCTATTTCATGCTGACATTTGTTGACTTTGGTGTTAGGTGCTGCCCAAGCCCTTTCCACACATGAACTCACTCTGTCCTCACAACCACACAAAGGCCTGGGTTCTGTTATAATCCCCAGTGTATACAAAGGCTTGGAAGCAAAAATAACCTGCCTGAGCACACAGGTCACTCAGCATGCGGGTTGTGGAGCCTGAAGTCCTATGCTTTCTCCACCAGTACCAGCAGAAGCTGAGAAAGGGACCACTGAGCTGGGACTGTGAGGGTAGAGGTAGGGAAGGTGGGAGGATGTGGGAATGAGTGGGGGATGCTGGAGAGAGGTGCCTTGCAGTGACTGAGTCTGCCTGCTAGAGTGTGTAGAGCAGAGGTGGGTACTTGAAGTTCTGGGTCCTGGTGTCTCTACAAACAAGTCCCTGCTCATCCCTTTGGGACTTGGTTTCTGCTTGTCCTCCAGCTCAGGCTGTCATGATGTTCAAGGGTGGACATGCTTTGTGAGTTACGAAGGTGGCACGCATGTACATGATACTGTTCTAGGAAAATGGTCGGGTCATACCCATGACTGGAGGGATTGGGGGACTGAATATCATGATAAAAAGTAAAGAACAACAGGAGGGAGGGAGAGGAGAGGTGGAAGCTGGAGCTGCTAGGATTCCAGAAGAGCAGGGAATATAACCTCCAAGTGCTCAAGGATCAGAACCTTTTCATGGTTTCTGCTGGATATACAATCTGAAATCCAGTATCATGGGGAAGAATTTGGGAAATCGGCGGCTTGTGTGTCAGGGAAAATCAAAGCTGTGAGACAGAGGTTGGCTCTTCTCTCTGCAGACCCGCCTGCTGCCATCCCCAGCCCTTCCCTGTCTCCACCAAGTGCAAAGGAAAGAGTTGACCTTCCCATTCAAGGCTGATCCCTGCACAGGTGCCTAACCAATCTCCCTCTCCAAGCGCCTTACTTTCTCACATTGTCATCTTCTCCCTTTTGTGTTATAAACAAATAATTTATATATATATATATATATTTTTTTTTTTTTAATTTTTGAGACGGAGTTTCGCTCTTGTTACCCAGGCTGGAGTGCAATGATGTGATCTCGGCTCATCACAACCTCTGCCTCCTGGGTTCAGGCAATTCTCCTGCCTCAGCCTCCTGAGTAGCTGGGATTACAGGCACGTGCCACCATGCCCAGCTAATTTTTTTGTATTTTTAGTAGAGACGGGGTTTCACCATGTTGACCAGGATAGTCTCGATCTCTTGACCTCGTGATCCACCTGCCTTGGCCTCCCAAAGTTCTGAGATTACAGGCTTGAGCCACCGCGCCCGGCCCAACAAATAATTATATTTAATAAATAATAGTAAGATAAGTGGTTGGCAGTGTTAGGGAAAATATATTTAAACCTGCGACTCTGACCACACACAAATTCCAGATGGATCAAAGAATTAAGTATTTTTTTTTAATTACACCATAGATTACTCCATACACAGAAAAACTTAAATAAAATTCCATATCTGCAAGGAAGACAGGTTTGGAATCAATTAAAGAGATCACAAAGAAAAATGATAGATTACATGTACGCTAATAAAAACTTCGTTATCAAGAAACAAAAGGATTGCAAACGAGTCTGGGGAAATGTGACATTATTTATTCATAGAAAGAGTTTATGGGCCAGGCAGAGTCGCTCATACCTATAATCCCAGCACTTTGGGAGGCCAAGGCAGGCAGATCGCTTGAGGCCAGGAGTTAGAAGCCAGCCTGACAACATGGTGAAACTCCATCTGTACCAAAATAGAAAAAATTAGCCAGGTGTGTTGTCACACGCCTATAGTCCCAGCTACTGGGGAGGCTGAGACATGAAAATTGCTTAAACCCTAGATGCGGAGCTCACAGTAAGCTGAGACTGCACCACTGGACTCCAGCCTGGGTGACAGAGGGAGACTTTGTCCAAAAAAAAAAAAAAAAAAAAAGAGCTTATGAGTCAGCTAGAAAAATAAAATCGATGGGCAAAGGACATGAGCAAGCTGGTCCCAGAAGAGGAGGTGTAGTGGATAAACATGGAAAAATATTCCACCTTAGAATCAAAGAAATGTAAATAAGGCCAGCTTTCATTTGTTAACTTGGCAAAAATAGGTTTGCTCATATTGGCATGCGTATGGGAAACTTTATATACACTTCTCTGCCCACTGATGGTGTAAATTGGCACTACCCTCTTGGAAACCAATTGGGAAATATGTGGCAGAGACCATTAAAATATTCATTCATAATTCTGGAATATTTTTTAGGGAAATGATCCATACTGAAGAGAACATATGAGCAAAAAAGTGTTTATTATGGCATTATTTATAATGGTGAAAAAAACAGTAACAGTGAATGTCCAGTTGTAGAGATGAGGAAATTCAAGTGGCAGTTGTGAAGTTTATATAATCGCATGGGCAGTGCTAAGATACATGAAGAAGTATCAATAAGAAGAATGTATTAATAAGTTAATCAATTAAATTCAGGTTGTAAAATTATATTTATTGTAACTGTAATACATCCAGGGTTGTCTCAAAGTACAGTGGAAAGACAGAGCCTTTGAGTTAGAAATATCTGGGCTGACAAATTTATCACCTGTGTGATGTAATTTAGCCTCTTAGCCTAGTTTCTGTATCAGTATTATACAGATCATAATACCTACCTGAGAGATTCATTGTGAGAGTTAAGTGCATGCTACCTAGTACAAGGAAATTGTAACTGCCCAATGGGTTCTCCTTGCCCACTGGCTACACAGAGCCGATTTATCAAGACGGGAATTGCAATAGACAAAGAGTTTAATTCACGAAGAGCTGGTTGTGTAGGTAAACCACAAAACCAGATGAGCCACTTTATTCATCTGGGTACTTTGAACTGGGTGCTGCCAGCCATCAAGGACAGGGTCTATAGAATATCTCAAGCACTGACCTTAGGTTTCACAGTATCCTAAACCATAATTTCTAATCTTGTAGCTAATTTGTTAGTCTTGCAAAGGCAGTCTAGTTCCCAGGCAAGAAAGGGATCTGTTTGGGGGAAGAGGTGTTATCATCTTTGTTTCTTTTTTCTTTTCTCTTCTTTTTTTTTTTTTTTTTTTTTTTTTTTTTTTTGAGACAGGGACTCACTTTGTTACCCAGGCAGGAGCACAGTGGCACAGTCTTGGTTTACTGTAGTCTTGAAATCCTCAGCCCTTCAAGTAACTGGGACTATAGGCATGTGCCACCACACCTGGCTACTTTTTGTGTTTTCAGTAGAGATGGGGTTTTTGCCATGTTGCCTAGGCTGGTCTGGAATTCCTGGACTCAAGCAATCTACCTGCCTCAGCCTCCCAAAGTGCTGAGATTACAAGCATAAACCACCACACCCGGCCCTGTCTTTGTTTCAGAGTCAAACTGTAAACCAAGTTCTACCCAAAGTTAGTTCGGCCTATGCTCAGGAATGGACAAGGACAGGTTGGAGGTTAGGTGCAAAATGGAGTCAGGTCAGATTTCACTGTTATAATCTTCTCAGCTATAATTTTTACAAAGGCAGTTTCAAAATCACCCAGTAAATGGCAACTATTATAATTATTATCAGCAGCATCATAGGGAGAAGGACTAGATCAGTACATACCAAAAATCACAATAATCATATTGGGGTTGCGGATAATTTTTTTTCTAAAGTGTTGCAGTTGGAAATCCATGATGGATTTTGACCCCATGTATCTGAGCCTCTTCCCTTAGTCTGGCCCCACTTCTGTACCCTGACTTCAGGGTTCTTTCCAGTTGCTCTGCTTGAGCTATGCCATTCATTACCACACAGGACAGAACATCTTCCTGTCACGGGGGCTCTGTGCACAGTAGTGTGTTGAGAATGAGGCTGGTTAATATTATATTACACCTCTCTGAATAAAATGTCACCTTGATATGCTCTCTAAATCGGTAGGGGTCTTATATCACCTCTGTAGGTCTTATTAAGTGTGTTTAGTTTTCAAAAGAAACCTGTTACCCTAGTACTTAACATGGGTTTATTACATTTTTTTTTTGACAAAAATTCAAAATGACATTTACCTTGTTCTTCATTCTCAAGTCACACATTTTAAAATGGTGGCACACTCCTTTCCTCTTCCTGTGGTTATTTGTTTATTTTAAGGTCTGTTTCTGGGTAGATAAGCTCTAGCTTATTTTGAAATACATTTTACAATGTAATTGACCTGGACTTGAACTGAAAAGGAAACATTATCTGTGTTATTTCAGATGCATCAATGATCAATTTAGAAGACAAGATGATTTCACTAGACTTAGGAATCATCTTGAAGCTCACCTAAATAAAAGTAAATGACTAAAATAATCTTTTTCTTCCAGAAGAGGTAGGATTAGTTTTATAATGTTTGGAATATTTCAGCACTTACATGATTCTTCCATCTTAAATCTTTGAGGGTTTAAAAAATTATTTAGTGTCCATTACTGTTTATATCACATAGCATATTTTCATTTGTCTATTTAAAATAGTGTTTTTAAACAAAGTTTAAACTAAATAGCTGCTGGCTATGATGTATAACTGCTGAGTTACAAGGTGCTTTCCAGAATTATAAAGTCATAAACCGTTGTGTGGAAACAATGAACCTTTCAGAACCAAAGAAAAGATCAACACTATGAAAGGGCTATCAAAGTAACGCAAATATCCTCTTTCTCCTTACCTGGGAGAAGCAGAATAAAGACATCATACAACCTGTCTTTGCTCAGAGGTGGAAAAAGACAGAAGAACAAGTTTCTTCCTAGGCAGGGTGATGTTTACTTGGCTTATTTAAATCAAAGTTACTAGTCCTCATTTGTAAGTGACTGGAAAAATGGGACATGTCTTCTCCATAGTTAGTGTACCCTTGGCAATAGCATGTAAATAAGCAATTGTGCTTGATTCTTTGCAATGTGCCTAAAAGAAAAAGGTATCTTCCCTTTGTGGCTGGCAGCAGCATTCTCATTCAGAAAAGCCCCATTTCTAAGAGCCCCAGGCCCCTCACATAATTCCTCTTGTTCCCGGATGAACAGGGTCTGGCTGCTTGTTCTCCCGGTCTACTAACAATCTGGGAAAAGAAGGGAGTTTATTTCTGCAGCTGGTGACAAGGAGATGATCAGAGTCACTCACCAGACCAACTCAAAGTTACAGGTTTTTCTTCAGTGCTTATTTACATATCTGTTCAGCAAACAAGATACCTCTTCATAAATTAGAAAAAATAAGAAATCACCTCTTATGAATTACTTATTTTCTTTCTTAGAAAAGGATGCACCTCCGCTTAGCAAGGCTGGGCAGGATGTGGTTCTGCATCTGCCCACAGACGGGGTGGTTCTAGACGGCCGTGAGAGCACAGATGACCACGCCATCATCCAGTATGAGTGGGCGCTGCTGCAGGGGAACCCATCAGTGGACATGAAGGTAACACATGTTGTCATTGCTAACAGAACAGGTATTTCAGTGAAGTGGTCTTTCGTAATGTCCTGCCACTTCATGTTACCTAAATGTCTGTATGCTAGCAGTGGAAGGTATAAAATGGAGACTGTATAAAACTGATTGCGCTAAAATGGTTTATGACCTCAATGTGCTTTTCTGCTGAATAAGCAGTGATCTCAATCATTTGTCTTGGAGCTTACCCTCCTTCTTGCTGCTGTTTGTGACTTCTCTAGAGGACAAAGACGCTTCAAGGAAAAAGACTAATCCTTTGTTTTAATGACTCAGATTACTTTTTTAAAGCTTTATTTCTTTTTCTTAGCTCAAGATCCAGGAAGAAAATTTGAAAGTTACAAAGGAATCTAAAGGAGACAATAACAATAGGATGAACTTATCCTTCACATGAGCCAGAAAGTAAACAGCTTACTTGGCAGCTAGGCCTGCTGAGCTTACCGGGCCTCTAGGGGAGGGAGGCTGGCATGGGGATCCTGGGATTGCCGCCGATGAAATCAGCCATGTGCTCCCTGGCTGCCTACGCTCAGGAAGTCTTGAGTGGTGAGACAAGTAGCTTTTTATTTACCCTATCAGGACCCATTCTAGTTAGGAGCATTTCCTGGCTTAGGCAGATGAATTGCATCCAAACCACCTCAGTTAGAGGAGATGGAGAAAGAGAGTGAGGTAAGGAGGCACTGATTTATACTCTACTGGAACCAAAGCAGAAACACATCAGGGAGACGACTAATTTAAGTAACGGTGATTTTACTCCCAACTCACCCTTGTCCAGTGATATGGTTTGCCATTGTCCTCACCTAAAGTTTTATCTTGAATTGTAACCCCTATAATCCCCATATTTCAAGGGAGAGACTAGGTGGAGGTTATTGAATCATGGAGGCAGTTTCCCCCGTGCTGTTCTCATGATGGTGAGTGAGTTCTCAGGACATCTGCTGGTTTTATAAGTGTTTGGTAGTTTCTCCTACATTCATTCTCTCTCCTGCCGCCTTGTGAAGGAGGTGCCTTGCATCTTCTTCGCCTTCTGCAGTGATTGTACTAATAAGGTTCCTGAGACCTCCCCAGCCATGCAGAACTGTGAGTCAATTAATTATCCAGTCTCAGGCAGTTCTTTTTAGCACTGTGAGAATGGACTAATACATCCAGCATCCTTCCCAGCTGCTCCTCCAAACAAGAGCCCCTTCCACAACATCCTTTCCAGGGCTCACCAGCCATCTGCATGACTTTTCCAAGGGCAGAAGCTCACTGCTTCACCTCATGTCCATGACATTGCTCATCACTGTATTAGGAAAGCAGGCTGTGCCTCCCCTTCCTTCTGTGCATTGGTGCTGGGTCTTCCCTCTGGAAAAACACTGAACTCCTATTTTTATCCTGTGTAAAATCTTTGAAAGTCTTTGAAAAAAAAAAAGAAGAAGAAGAACATCAGCACTTGGTAAGCTCTTCTCAGAGCTCAGCACCCCACAATTTGTCAGATGTTTCTCATATGAATTGATTTAGAGGAACCCCACAACCATCCTGCCTTGTCCAGATTTTATCATTAATCCATACCCTTCTTAACATCTGACACCCCTAATCGAACCCCATATTTAAGCTTTGGTTTCCTGACTCATCCGTTACATCCTGTGATTCAGATTGCCTTTGTCTCTGTTAAGGAGCTTAATGACATGAACCGTGTTAGTAGCTGCATCACACAATAGGTTCGTGCTGAGTTTTTTGCCAGCAGGATTACCTATACCTTGCTCCATCTTTCTACATGAATTGTCATCATGGCCTCTTCTATTGCATTAGTCTGTTATTGAACTGCTGTAAAGAAATACCTGAGACTGGGTAATTTCTAATGAAAAGAGGTTTAATTGGCTCACGGTTCTGTAGGCTGTACAGGAAGCATGACAGCATCTGCTTCTGAGGAGGCCTCAGGGAGCTTTTACTCATGGCAGAAGGAAAAGCAGGAGCAGGCATGTAACATGGCCGGAGCAGGAGGAAGAAGGGGGTGCTATACACTTTTAAATGACCAGGTCTCATGAGAACTCACTCACTAGCACGACACAGTACCAAGGGGGAAATCCACCCCCATTATCCAATTAGCTGCCATCAGGCCCCACTGCCAACATTAGGGATTACAGTTCAACATGAGATTTGGGCGGGGACACAGATCCAAACCATATCACCTGTCCTGTATTTGTGTAATTTATTTGTTTAACCTAAGTACAGGACCATCTATTGATCCTCTTACATCTCAGCATTTTTGTTTTCATCTATAGCAGAAATAATGTTGAACTTTGAGGGTCATCATCATATTTATTATCATTTTATGTTTTGTGTCAGCTGCAAAATTGATTAATATATCTCAATTGAAATGAGAATGGCCAGGCGCAGTGGCTTATACCTGTAATCCCAGCACTTTGGGAGGCCGAGGAGAATGGATCATTTGAGGTCAGGAGTTCAAGACCAGCCTGGCCAACATGGTGAAACCCCGTCTTTACTAAAAATACAAAAAATTAGCTGGGCATGGTGGTGCATGCCTGTAATCCCAGTTTCTTGGGAGGCTGAGACAGGAGAATCTCTTGAACCTGGGTGGTGGAGATTGCAGTGAGCCAAGATCATGCCATAGCACTCCAGCCTGGGTGACAGAGTGAAACTTAGTCTCAAAAAAGAAAAAAAGAAAGAAATCTTGAGAATTAAGGTTGATTAGGAAAAGTACATGAGCAAGCTGCTGGTCATACCACTGGAGAGCTTTCATGGGCTGGACACTGACTGTTGATTGACACCTCTGAAAGATCAGTGTTCAGGCAGCTACAAATTTGCCACTATTATGCAATATTTTCATACTTGCTGCTAAAAGCTTTATTCTGTAAGTAATAAATTATATATATGAGTGCTGAATAAAAATAATGCTGATGATTCAGTATTTAATTTCTTGAAGAAATTTGTAAAGGAGTGACAAAATTAGATATTTGTCTTTCCAACAAAATACTAGCAAATCAAATCCAGCATCACATTCAAGATCATTTACTGTGATCAGGTGGGATTTATCGCAGGAGTGTAAGGATGGTTCAATATATGCAAATCAATAAATACAATACGTTGCATCAACAGAATGAAGGACAAAAACTTTATGATCTCTTCAATAGACACAGAAAAAACATTCAATAAAATTAGGTACTTCTCATTAGGACTGACTGCTGTGCCATCAAGAGGAAACTCTGGACCAGTTCCCCAGTCAGGTGTGTAACAGCAATGGCAGGTAGACCTCAGGTTATGAAACCATCATCTAAGTGACAGAGCCTTCACTAGGGGAAACAGCTGTTACTAATTTGTGACTGTCTTTGAATTGTATACATTGATTAATGTCCCCCAGAGTTATCACTCATCCTGCTGAGACTTCATCATAATCAAAGCCCCCATGGATTGAGCACCTGCTGAGTACCAGGCAGCTTAAAGAGATCTGTAATCCACTAGACACTCTCACTTGTAGGCTCATCCCCATTTGGTAGATTAAGACTGTCAGGAAAAATTGTGGAAAACTTTGACATGGTCAAAAGATTACCAAGTACCTTTCAATGGAACGTTGAGGTTTGTTAGTGGATCCTTCAGGGTTAATATCTATAAGTTATTGAAAACCGATAGTAACCAAATGATTCTTATCCATAGAAATGTAAACAAATTTTTTGGTATATAGAGGTAATTGACTTTTACCCTGGAGAAAATAAGATTTCAAATATGACATTTTATTACACATAGATACTAACCAATCTATTTTTTTAAATATATATTTTATTGCACTTTAGATTCTGGGGTGCATGTGAAGAACATGCAAGATTGTTGCATAGGTACATACATAGCAATGTGGGTTACTGACTCCATCCCCATCACTTATGTCTGGCATTTCTCTCCATGTTATCCCTCCCCAACTCCCTATCCCCTACTGTGCCTTCCCTAGGCCCCCACAACAGACCTCAGTGTGTGATGCTCCCTTCCCTATGTCCGTGTGTTCTCATTGTTTAACACCTGCCTGTGAGTGAGAACATGTGGTGTTTGTTTTTCTGTTCTTGTTTCAGTTTGCTAAGAATGATAGTTTCCAGATTCATCCAAGTCCCTACAAAGGACACAAACTCATCATTTTTTATGGCTGCATAGTATTCCATGGTGTATATGTGCCACATTTTCCCTGTCCAGTCGATGGACATTTTCCCTGTCCATCGATGGGCATTTGGGTTGGTTCCAAGTCTTGCTATTGTAAACAGTGCCAGAGTGAACATACGTGTGCGTGTGTCTTTATAACAGAACGATTTATAATCCATTGGATATATACCCAGTAATGGGATTGCTGGGTCAAATGGAATTTCTATTTCTAGGTCCTTGAGGAATCGCCACGCTGTCTTCCACAATGGTGAACTAATTTACACTCTCACCAACAGTGTGAAAGTGTTCCTATTTCTCCACATCCTCTCCAGCATCTGTTGTCTCCAAATTTTTTGACAATTGCCATTCTAACTAGCGTGAGATGGTATCTCAACGTAGTTTTGATTTGCATTTCTCTAATGACCAGTGATGATGAGCATTTTTTCATATGTTTGTTGGCCTCATATATGTCTTCTTTTGAAAGTGTCTGTTCATATCCTTTGCCTACTTTTGAATGGTTTTTTTTTTTGTTTTGTTTTGTTTTTTTCTTGTAAATCCGTTTTAGTTCTTTGTAAATTCTGATATAAGTCCTTTGTCAGATGGGTAGATTGCAAAAATTTTTTCCCATTCTGTTGGTTGCTGGTTCACTCTCATGATTGTTTCTTTTGCCGTGCAGAAGCTGTGGAGTTTGATTAGGTCCCATTTGTCTATTTTGGCTTTTGTTGCCAATGCTTTTGGTGTTTTAGTCATGAATTCCTTGCCTATGCCTATGTCCTGAATAGTTTTGCCTAGGTTTTCTTCTAGGGTTTTTATGGTGTTAGGTCTTATGTTTAAGTCTTTAATCCATCTGGAGTTAG